AACAAGTTGTCATTTTTAGCAAGAAGTCAGATATTTCCCCATTCAGTTCTCCCCAGCATATACATATAAATTATCTAAATCCCTACTTAGGCTACTGATAACTCAGAAGAGTACATTTTCCTTTTGAAATTCAGGAGTTAACAGACATGATGAGAGTAGTCAGGTCACTACTGCAGGTATATTTTAGTGACACTCTGATGTGCCTAATGACAACATATTGAATGCAATCTAATGCCTCTCAACTTTTCAATGAAACATGTTGATTCACCTTTTATAAAAACTGCAGTAAAACTCCAGACTTGGTTCTAATATCACTACTTCATTCTATTCACTTGATTAAGGTGAGGACTAGAGAGAGGCAAGTGACTTTGCCAGGGCACAGCGTTAAGGAGGCACTCACCTTCACATTGCATGAAGTGCCAAACATGCACTTACTCAACTGCAATGCTAGACAATATATAAACAAATAACCGTGGCTGTAAAACAAGTTACACTAGATCTAAATAAATTAAAATTGCACAATCTATGCTCTCCATTCCTAATGGAATTAAATTAGATATTAATAGGACATTTTTGAGAAACCTTCAAATATTTGGAAATTAAACCAATTTCTAAAATAATCTGAGTTAAAGAAGAGATTGCAACTGAATACATATATACAAAACATATCAAAATTTATGGAATGTAGCTAAATCAATGCTTAGAAGTAAGTTTAATTTGTAGTTCTACATTCCTACATTAAAAAAATGAAAAAATTCTCGAATCAATATCCTATGTTTTTATCTTAAATGACTAGAAAAAGAAGAGCAAACCGAACCCCAAGGAAAGGAAATGGTGAGATTAGAGCAAAAATCATTAAAACTGAGGAGAAAATTTGATGAAACAAGATCTTATATTTGAGAAAAATAAAATTTACATATCTTTATGATACCGAATTTTTGGACTGGAACCCGGATTCTTTGTCGGCTAGAATCGAAGAATGAGTCCATGGACAGAAAGTGGTATAGCAAAGATGGAGATTTATTCAAGAACAAGTACAGACTCCCGCATGGGGAGAGGGAAAGAGTCCCACAGAACTGATTCTATGGGAAAAGGGTCCCAAGGAGTTCCTTTTCCCTATGGTTTATAAAGACTACAGATCCTGGTGCCTGATATCCCCTCTGATTGGTCAGTATTCCCCTTCCACATGTGAAGTTCTCCCCCTCCTTCCCTCTGGGCTTTCTTCTTTTCCATCTGAATGAAGGGCTTCCTTCCCTTTATTTTGTAAATATAGACCTTTCTTGGCTACTTCCAGTTCCCTTATCCCCTGTAAATACAACTGTTGCTGCTCCCTTGTCTTATGGAGATGTAACTGCACCTGGCTTCCTTGTGTTATGGAAACATACCTTCCCTCAGTCTGCAGCCCTGCACTTTTCTATGGACACCAATTCTAAGGAATTCCTAATCCTGCATATGTTCCCCCTAAAATTCCTGCTTCATTTAGTTGGACTGACCAAAAAAACAAAAAACACACAAAAAAAACAAAGGAAGACACAAATTAACAAAGCCAGGATTTAAAGTGAGAACATCATTAATGACCATTCATAAATGAAAAGGATTATATGGAAAAAACTATAAAAACAATATGCCAAAAAATTGGACCACTTAAGTGAACTAGACAAATTTTTAGAAAGGTGCAAGGTACTAAACTGTCTCAAGAAGAAATAGAAAATCTATACAGACCTACCAAATATTTAAAGGATTAGTATAAATCTCTATAAACTTCATAAAAATCTTGAAGATGACACATTTTATGAAGCCACTATATCCTAATACCAAAACCAAGCAAAGATACAAGATAAGAAAACCAAAACACAATGTCACTTAGGAATAAACATTTTAAAACTTCAAAATATGAGCTCAGCAAATTAAATAACATGTAAAATATTTTTGTATCTGACAACTGGGATTTTTTTTTGCAAGAATGCAAGATTGCTTTAATATCTGAAAATTAATATAATAGACCATATTATTAGCATGAAGGACAAAATCAAATAATCTTTCTAGATGCAGAAAAAAAAACTTTTGACAAAATCCAACACACATCCTATATAATCCTATATAATCTAAAGCTAATATGCTAATTAGACCAAACAGCGGACCAACCTAGGACATCCTACAGGATCTTCCCAATGAAGCCGGGGCTGCAAGGGCTGGCCAAGGCTGTGAGGGGCTGTGAGGGCCAAACCCCTTACACAATTTTTGTGCATCCAGGTTCTAGTTTATCATAAAGCTCTATAGAGATTATAAAGAGAACAAAATTCTCTCAGTCTGATCAAAAGCACCTCTGGCAATTGTCCTGTTAACATCACACAAGTGATGTTGGGCTGGAAGAATGAGAAAAAACTATAAAAACTATATGCCAAGTATATGTTTTTATAGTTTTTGCCCCTAAGAATGAGAACAGGACTTTGATAGCCACTTTTGTAGTCACTATGTCTAGTCAACATTATTCAGAATGTTCCAGACTGTTTGCTAGGGGGGAATAAAAGGTACAAGAAAATACTGACTGAAGAAGGGGAAGTAAAACAAGTCTTTATTAACAAGTGCCATAATCTCATATGTAGAAAATCCTAAGGAATCCAAAAAAAAAAAAAGAACTTTGGAGTAATGAGTTTATAAAACCTGCATGATACAAGATAATATACAAAAGGTAATTGTATTTCTATACCTGAGCAACAAAATTTCAAAAGTAAAGAAGATAATTTCCCTTACAATAGTATCAAATCGACAAAATGCTTAGGTATCAGTTTAATTCATTAAATGCAAAACTTTAACTGACAACTACAAAATATTACTGAGAGACATGAAAAAAATAAATATCAAACAAATGGGGAGATATTGCTTATTCATTGATTAAAACTTCATACTATTAACATGGTAATTCTTCCTAATTTTATTTATTGATTCATTGAAATCCCTATCGATATTCCTGCTGGCTTTTGCATAGAAATTCACAAATGCATACAAGACTTTATATGGAACAGCAAAGAAAAAAGGAAAATAGGTAGATGGCTTCCCAACCTAAAATGTAATAACAAGTTCCATTTATCCAGACAATGTATTATTGCATATGGATAGGTATATAGGATAGGTTGGTCAGTTGATTTTCACAATAGTGAAAGAGGAAATTAAATGGATGAAAAAGTATTTTCAAAACATTTTGTTAGGACAATTTATACCAATATGTAAAGAAATTTATATATATAATTTCAAACATTCACATATATGTGCATAGGAAATAACGTATCCTTATCTCATACTATACCAAATTAACTCAAACACATCAGAGATATAAATAAGAGCTTAAATGATAAAATTTCTAATAAAATATAAAAGAAGCCGAAACCGGTTTGGCTCAGTGGATAGAGCGTCGGCCTGTGGACTGAAAGGTCCCAGGTTCGAGTCCGGTCAAGGGCATGTACCTGGGTTGCGGGCACATCCCCGGTGGGGGATGTGCAGGAGGTGGCTGGTTGATGTTTCTCTCTCATCGATGTTTCTGACTATCTCTCTCCCTTCCTCTCTGTAAAAAATCAATAAAATATATTTAAAATATATATATATATATAAAAGAAAATGGTCTTTATGACCATTGTTCATCAAAGCTTTGATATACACCAAAAGCATGATAAAGATATGTGGAAAAAAAATGTTACAAAGTGAACTTAATAAAATGAAGTCCATTGGTAATTTGGAATTAAATGAAAACTCTATCCAAAAGTCACCAACTGAGAAAATGACTAGAAAAAGCAAGGCAAAGCACGGCAAGGAGAAAATATTTTCAGGTCACATAAATCATATGGAATTATATTCAGATTATACAAGAAATACTCACTACTCAATACTAAATAAATACATAAAAAGATAAACAACACAATTTAAAATAGTTTAACATTTGAACAGACATTTTATTAAAGAGGATGTACAAATGTACCATGAACATATGAGAAGATACTCAGAATTGTTAGTCTTATTGAAATGCATATTGAAACCACAAGGAAGTACTATTTCACACCCACAAGAATTATTATAAAAAAGGAGATAGACAATATCAAATGTTAGCAAAAATGTAGAGAAACAGGATACTGTATGCATTGCTGGTATGAATTTAAAATGGCACAGTCACTTTGCAAAATAATCTGGTAATTTCTTAAAAAGTGATACAAAAATTTATCATACACCTCAGCAATTCTAGCACTAGGAATCTGTCCAAGATATATAAAATATATATCCACACAAATATTTGTGTGTGAATTCATTACTTATAAAAGTTAGATGATAAAAAGTAAATCTTAAAGTTCTCATCACAAGAAAAAATTATGCATGATAATGAATATTAACTGAACTTATGCTCATTTCTCAATATTTACATCATTAAGTTGTACACCTGAAACTCATATAATATTAAATATCAGTTATATCTTAATAAAAAGTACAAAGTGAAAACAAGCCAAATCTTCATTAACTGATGAATGGGTAAGCAAAATGTTGAATACATTGTGAATTCTCTTTGGCAGTAAAACTAACAAAGTACTGATACATGATACAACATGAAAAATCCTCAAATTTTTTTTTATGATAAGCAAAAGAAGCCAATCACAAAAAACAACATACTGTACCATTCTGTTTATGTAATGCTCAGAAAATGCAAATCTATAGGGACAGTATGATTAATGGTGCCTAGGCCTGGAGTTGGGAACCAAGAATCATCATAAATGAGCTCATCTTTGGGTCATGAAAATGTGTTAAAACTGGATAGTGCTGATGGTTGAAGAGCTCAATACATTTGCAAAAGTTATTGAATTATTTATTTGAAAGTGATTAATCCCATGATATATAAATTATACTACTAAAATTTTGGTAAAGAAAATTTTGGTTCCATGAACTCTAGAGACTTTTTCTATCGTAAGTTTTGCTACATATATATGTCCATATTTTATTTTTGTGTATGATCTTTTAAGGTCCATTCTGTGAAGAGTCAATGGGGCATTGTGTTTCTTGGTATTGTTGGAAAAGGGGAATTTGCCAAAATGAAAGCTCTGCTTACATTTGTGAATGTGCAGAAGGATTTCTCAATCAAGACTGTGAAATTGATGACAAAAAGTGTTCATTAATACCATGTCAGAATGGTTATGACTGCAATGATATTTCAAATGTAAGTCTGAATCTAACATACAAGAGAGTGGTTTTAAAACATTTTGACAGTTACCAAACTATTTCAAAAGGACAAAATTTATAGTTTCCATTATTATAAATTTTCAAGCTCAAGATATCTACGTTTCGTATTTAAATTTTCCTATTTTAAATGGAAACCCCAATTCCAAAAGCACTATTTAGTTTCATTTTCGCTCTTGCATCAAAATTCTCCCCTGTAAACAATGTAATTTTGTAAACTTTTAAATTTGAATTTATTGGTTTTTAAATTTTTTAAATTATTTGCTTATTTGATACTTTTAATTATAACTTTTAATTTTAACATTTAAATAAATAATACTAAAAATAATTAATAGTTCCCACAAATCACTCTTATTTTAGTAATATTTTCATTTGAATTCATATTTAAATCTTAAAGGTTTCTTTACTCACATGTGTGGTAGTTATGCGGGCTGTCAACTGGGACCTAAGCTGGAGCCATCAGCCAGAACCTTATCTAACTACCCTGCATGGCTTGGGGACTAGGTTCCAAAATAATTAGATTGACACCGTATGGCTTTTAAATTTGTCTTTGAAAGCCCCAGAGCATCACTTTTTGTATAGTCAGAAATTTCTTACATTCCAGTGGGAGAAATAAAGTCCCCAATTCTCAATTAGAGGAGTGTTGAATTCACATAGTTAGGAAGTATGTGAATTGTTTTGACATTTTGGAAAGTAAAATCCTCCACATTGTTGTAAAGAAAACTTCGACTACATGCTTATGAGAATAATGTCCATCATTTCATCATCTTTGAAGTATCTCAAAACTTTAATAAAAATACTTTTTAATGTTCCCAAGGTTACCATATGCATCTGTGCACCAATATTGACAGGCAAGCTGTGTAAGAGACTTCAAACACCATGTGATTCATTTCCTTGCAAGAATAATGCAACATATATAAACTGTGAGAAAGATTATCATTGCAGGTATAATTCATTTGTTATTTTATTAAATAAAAATATATGAGTTTTAAATAAATGTCTGTTTTAAACCTAAATTTTATTTAATAACATAATTGATTTAAAGTTAAAGTAGAAACTTTTAAATGTGATTTTATGTTGTTTAATTATTGTGGTATTGATTTTGAATAAATATTTAAGAAATTCTGAGATATAATTTGGCATAAAGTTGTAAAACATATATTTTGTTTCATAATAATGATTTTTAGGATAAAATAATATTTGAAGGTCTAGAAAAAGAGATTGATGTACGTACCTTTAGTATTATTTATATTATATACATACAATGTTAATATTATATTTTGAAAGTATAGAGCAACCATCTCTTCCTTCAATTCACAGATCTCAGCTAACAAATTTCAGTTAGGGCCTTTAGGCAAACTTTTTAGGAAGCAGTGCTTTAGTTAAATAAGAATTGCTAAAAAAAAAAAAAAAATTACCCATTTGTAAAAGATAGAAGTGACCTAGTTATCTGGGTCTATAATTTTAGTCCATCATAAATAGCTTTATAGATACTTCCTCACAACATTAAGAAGTATAATTTGTACTCTCCACTCTTGCTTGGGTTTTATGTGACTGCTTAAAGTAAGTTCTGTTAGGCATTACTGAAAGGCAATAAATAGGCTCAAGTTTTAGAATATTCATAAAAGCAGAAAATTAAAATATCTGGTACAGGAAAGATTTAAAACACACTGGAAAAAAGTAACTTAGAACATGTATACATATCAAGTTGTACAATGGATAGTATTTCCATCAACTTTAAAGGAATCTAAACATAAGGTTTTCCCTAGCCAGTTTGGCTCAATGGATAGAACATCAGCCTGCAGACTGAAGGGTCCCAGGTTCAATTCCGGTCAAGGGCACATGCCTGAGTTGCAGGCTTGATCCCCAGTAGGGGGTGTGCAGGAGGCAGCAGATCAATAATTCTCTCTCATCATTGATGTTTCTATCTCTTCTCCCTCTCTTTTCTTCTCTGAAATCAATAAAAAATATATTAAAAAAATAAAAAATAAACATAAGGTTTAAAAACATTACATTTTTAAAATGTGACATTTTCAAAAGAGAATGAAACTTGATGATCATGCCAAGATATTGAAAGTTCTAACCCATACAGTCAAATTTGTATATACATTCAATCTTAAGTCAATTTACCAATAAACCCAATTATTATTTTTAGAAAAATATTGACTTTTAATTTATAATTTCTAGTTCTTATAGTACTTGTATATATATTATTTTCCTTTGAAAAGTGGTCAACTTTTAAAAATATCTAAGAATTATATAAATATGAGTAAATATGCAGTTATTTATAATATTTATTTATAATATAATTAAATATGATGCATTTATTGGCCCTATTAATAGCAATATTTTGGCTGTTTAGAAGACTTCTTTCTTTTTTTTTTAGAAGGATTTTCTTTTAAATTTCATCATCTACGGGGAAAATGGATAACCCAAAAAAAAGATATTAGATAATGAAATATATAAAAACTAGAGGCCCGGTGCATAAAATTTGTGCACGGTAGATCCCTAGGCCTGGCAGGGGATCAGGGCCATTCTGTGGGGTGACCGGAGGTGTGATCAGGAGGCCCCAGCTGGCACCCTCCTTGGCCAGCCTGGTGCTGCCCGCTGGCCAGCCTTGCTCCCTGCCACTGCCGCCAGTCACCTTCCTCTGTGGGGCAACCAGCGGTGTGATCAGGGGGCCCTGGCTGGCACTCGCCTTGGCTGGTCTGGAGCCTCTGGGCTGGGGGAAGCTCCTGCGTTCCACCGTTCATTCCACTGTTTGGTCGATTTGTGTATTAGGCTTTTATTACATAGGATTATGTCTACTAGTAAAATCAGAAATTTTGTGATACAAAGGTTTTGCTTCTAAATCTTTTATTTTCTCCTCTCAGATTCCAACATATTTCATGGTAAAATAATGTTCTATTTTACTCTCAGCTTGTTATTTTCTCACGTTTCTTAGTCACTGAATAGCAATTATAGTTGGCCCTACTCCAGTGTCAATTCAATGAATTAACATATTTTATTTTTCTAAAGTCAGTTTCCACATTTCATTAGTATGTGTAATGTCTCACTATATCATCCATGGGTAGAGTTAAGGTTTTCAATTTCTGTCACAAGTAAACCTAATTAAGCATGCATTGTGACTTTGAAAGAAAACAGTGTACAATAGAATTTACATAGGTCAACATATTTCTTTTCAACATATAACGCAGCTGCATTTTCACATTAACTCTGAAAAATGCTTTTAAAAATAGGAGTCACACACTTAAGTGAAGAATTTGTTAATTAATGAAATGTGTCTACTTGGTCACTCAATAATTTTCAACTAACAGGACACCTCTATTTCTTTGAGTTACTTATCTCAAAAGCTTAGTGGCTATATTTTTTTTTTCCCTTGAAATTCAAAGCCCTATTTGTAAGGGTAACTTTCACTTTTGAATAAATTATTCTAAAATTTAACAAACAAAAATGTTGTTAAAGTTTAAATATAGTTTTATAATTTCATATTTTGGTTGTAAAATATATACTATTGAAATTATATTTCCTCATCAAGACTATTTTCTGCTATTCATATAATTTTATATTTTTCTGGGACTATTATAGGTGACAGAAGTCATTCTCAGATCTGGTCCCCTAAGGGCCTCATTTTGAGAACATATGCTCACGTTAGTACAACTTTTCTCCCATTAGTCCTGAACCTATTAATTTTCTTTTAAGTAATCTTATATAATAAAAGCCTAATATGCAAATCGACCGAATGGCAGAACGACTGGTCACTGTGATGCTCACTAACCACAAGGTGTCAGAAACTCAATACAGGTGCTGCCCCCTGGTGGTCAGTGCTCTCCCACAGGGGGAGCACCACTCAGCCAGAAGCTGGGCTCATGGCTGGCAAGCACAGTGGTGGTGGCGGCAGCCTCTCCCGCCCCCGCGGCAGTGCTAAGGAGCAGTGAGCAGGTGGGCGGTAAGGAGCCAGGGTTCCGGGACTGCGAGAGGGTGCAGGCTGGGCTGAGGGACACTCTCCCGCCCAGTGCATAAATTTCATGCACTGGACCTCTAGTAAATAATAAAACATTATGACAGGGTTAGTACAGACCTACATACATAAAGGTTCAATTAATATCATGCATATTCTAAGTGTTCTAGGGCGTAGCTGATCAAATTCTCTGTACAATTTCTAACATTTCTTAATATCCAGTCCTCTTCCACTGTGTCTTCAGGATCATTTTGTCAGCAGCCAATTCTCTAATACCACAATTTCTTTTGTATACCTTCCTTTCTCTGCATAACCTGTATACAACTTGTGAGAAAGTTTTGCCCCTGTTACCATATCCCGACTATTTTTCTTCTGCCTCCTGTTCTTGAAGGAGAAGTCTATTCATTTTTAGCAAACGACATCAGCTATGTCATTCTCTCTCTGTGTTTCTTCCTTCCAATGCTCCTTTTCAAAGTATCTCCTCTTTTCTCAATTCCTGTCCCTGCCCCAACCCCACTAAAGGTTTTAGCATCTGTCCTTTTCTCTGCCATTATTGTCATCTTCCTAATGATTTCTATATAAATTTTGGAAATTCACCCATCGTGATTGTGTAAGTTATTTGACAATTATTTTACAGTTAGTTTTTCCTCCTCCTCCTCCTGTTATTGGCCCATTTCTCATGGTGATATCTTATAATTTATCAAAACCTCTAATTGCACATTCCCAACCTCTTGCTTTATATATTTTCACTCTCTAATCAACACTTAATGCATTTCAAGCTCACTCACTCATATACTCTATCCACAGAATTATATAATGTGTTTCTATAAACAACAGCACCTCTAATTATTTGACTGCACTTGCTCTCTTCTGTCCCTTAACCTAGGCAGGTCCTTATTTTCCTTTTTACAAAGCATACCTGTATATTCACTCTCAAACTCCTTATCTCTCTTTCTATGTTCTATTTACCTGCAAACACCAAACATGCTTAATATTGCATCCCACCAGGTAAGCCTGTGTATATTTCCATGCATATCCAATGTGGCATCTCAAATTTAACATATTCCAAATTAATAGTTAAATATTCAAAATTAACGGTTGACATACACCGGCTTTTCTGTCATTTTTCTTTAGATTTACCTGTGATTTTTTGTATCTCTCTGTCAATCTACTTCTTGTCCATCAGCAATCCTTCAAGCTCTCCCATAGTATATCTCATGAATATAAACACTTTCATCATTATGAAGTTAACACTCTTTTCAAGCCACCAAAAAATCTTCATTGGAACAGTTCAGTAATCCTCCATTTGACCTCGTTGCTTTGACTCTTCATGCAAGTATATGTAGAGTAGTGAATGAAATTCAGCATCATTGAGAAAGCTAATATTTGGGTAGTGAGTTAAGTGACATGGTGGACCATGCAGCCTTCTAGGGCAGTGGTCGGAAAACTGCGGCCCCTTGAGTGTGGCTCTTCCACAAAATAACACGTGTGGGCGCGCATATACAGTGCAATTGAAACTTTGTGGCCACACTGAAGGGGCCAAAGCCGCATGTGGCTCTCGAGCTGCAGTTTGCCGACCACGGAATTAGGGGAACAATGTCTATGGCAGAGGGAGCACCAAACGCAAAGCCTCCATCCTATTGGGATCATACTAATGAGACTGGTCTGAAGAAAGCAACGGAGGGAGTGAGAACAGAGAAGAAACTGGAGACCAGGGCAGTTGCAGATCCTGCAGATACCATTTTAATGCCTTTGAGCTTCACTTTAAGTAAAATGAAGGGTTAAGTACTGCAGGGTTTCTGGCAAGTGAGTGATATTATCCTATATTTTAAAATGATGCTTTGGCTGTTGTGTTGAAAACTGTAGATGCACAGTCAATGTAAAGAGGCCAGTTAGAAACTAATGTAGTAGTCTAGACAGGAGAAGATAGAGATGGAACAAGATGGGAGAGAAGACATGGTAAAAAGTGGTTGAATTATGGATA